CCCCAAAACCCCAAAACCCCAAAACCCCAAAACCCCTTTATGCTCGTAGATTATTGGATAATCTTAAATTATTTTTTAATAAAAGATGCCTAGACAAGACAGAAAGGAAAGGAAAGATTTCAACGCTGATGATTTCGTATGCCTAAAAATGAACCAGTTTCTTAAGAAGCTCAAGACCTTTATTGACACTAATTGTTATGATTGGGGCAAAACTCCAGAGCCTGAGGCCAATGATGGTGAGGAAAATAAACAACCCGAATCTACAAAAAGCCGTAATGATGATAAAGAGTGGGAAACTATTGGGGAATATGCTAAAGTTAACCTTAAGGATCAGAACTTAATCGAGTGTAATAAGATCACCGAGATCCACTTTTCAAGAAGGCTTACTAGTCTTAAGGATACTGAAAAGTTGACTGATAAAGGACTTGAGGCTATCGAAGCTACTGCTAAGTTCCTTTACGAGACCTCTATACAGTTCTCCAAGGATGCAGTCAAGAAGTTAAGCAACTTCATTGCATTATTTGATGAAGGCAAGTTACCTAGTCTTCAAAAGCTAGTTGCAAAGGACCCTGTTGACATCAAAGTTAGAGAAGATACAGGTCATAAGAGTAAGATTCTTACTAAAATCCATCAACTCATTTACTTTAGAGAAGAACAAACGGAATGATAGAGACAACCAAAAAGAAGAAGAGAAGGTATGGACCGTCGATGACTCTGATGCCTTTGGATTCCTTGATATCATCAAAGGAATGAAATCTACCTTATCAAAGAAGAATATCGAGATGTTTGTTGAATATCTATTGCATGCTCTTGATGGATTTCCTTATGGGAGCAAGATTGTTCAAAGCAGGATAATCTCGATAATCGAGACTGCTTCAAAGAAACTAGGCAAGTTATGTTTCCTTAATCCTTAGATATCGGACAAGAAATCCTGAATTTACAAGATAAGAAGATGATTTATCATTACATCATCGATCTTGAGTACATTCTTTCAGTGAATCACAACAAAACCATTGAAGAGATTTACAACAAAACAAAGGGTGACAAATCTCCATTTGATTTGAAGCAGACCAGAGAATACTTTGTGCATGGTAGCTCACTTTCCTAACTTATAGACATGGTAAAGACTAAGGAAGTTCATGATGAAGAGCCAGAGAACATCAAACTAGCTCAAAAAGTGACAAGAATTCTTTTGGATATCACCCATTCTTTTGGATATACTAATGCAAAAGCAGTAGAGAAGGAGGCTAACACTTTTTGGAACATTGCCGCTAAAGGTGACCCAGCCAAAATAGCTAATGCCTTCGAGAATGTAGTAGAGTTTCTGATAACTGCAAAGATAAAGCTCTCTGAAGAGGATATCGAGTATCTTAATTCAGAGGTTATTGAGGGATATTTAGCCCCAAAACTTCTGGCACTTGACCAGCTGGAGGAGAAGAAGGTTGAAATTTATGAGGAGAGTAAATATGAACATCCACCTACCCAAGCTGACCATTTAGCCAAGATCAAAGAGAAATTCAGTGGAATTAGCGCTAAAAAATCTAAAGAGGATATCCTTGAAGAAGGAAAATTTACCTTACCTAATGAGGAAGAACTTGAGACTCTTATCAAGAAAGTTCATGAAGTTATGGAAGAGCCAGAGAACCTCAAATTGCTCGAGTATCACATCAGTGACATTTACACAAGTTCCCAAGTGGCTGCATCTGATTACCAGAACTGTGCCTACATCATCAGTCATATCCAGGAGCTATTAAGGAATAGTGAATTCATTAAGGAAAAGTTTGGATTAGCAACAGTCGAGAACTATGGGTCAAGTGCCAATACTCTATGGAGTATGGATTCTGATATTGATATTGCAGTCCATTTCACCCCGAATGAGTCAATGAATTCCAAGAAGAAAGCTAAAGGCAACAAAAAGGGTAAATCTCACCTATAATTACACATAGAGTCCAAGAAGAAGCAAAATGTTGTCAACGAAATGAAGAAAATTGATTATATCAAAGCCCTCGTAGATATTAGAAAAGTTATCAGAGGAATGGCTGCCAATGGGGATATCGAAGGCATCTTTGGTGCAAGAATCCCTCTGATTAAGTTCACAGACAAATCAACAGGCATTGAGTGCGACCTTTCTATTAATAACACTAATGGGATACCTAACTCGAGACTTACCAGGATTTACTGTGAGTTTGACCAAAGAGTTCACATTATGGTGAAGTACATCAGACACATCTTTAAGGAATCTGGGTTGCTGCAAGGAGACCAAGGATGTCTGAATTCTTATTCAATAGTTCTAATGGTGATTGCTTTCTGTCAATCTCAAGAAGATCCTATCCTTCCTAACCTCCAAGAAGGAGCTAAGGATAATGACCTTATTTTCTACACCACAACTAAGAACAGATACGGAAGAGCTCAAGTCAAGGAGGTGAAATATTCTCTGAACGAAGACTTTGAAACTTTCAAGAAGGAATTTGGGTTCAAAAATAAGAAGACAGTTGCTCAACTCGTTGCAGAGTTCCTTATTGACTTCTTCTTAAAAGGAGATATCATCAAAACACACCAAATCGATATCAAGAAGGGAGGGTTCTTTGAAGGACCGACAGATATGTACTCCTATATTGATATTGTTGAGCCCCTTACTCCAGATGCAAAGGTGGGGCAAGGATGCAGGAAAGATTCCCATCATCCTCAAGCATATACCCAGTTTGTATATAGCTTCTTACAAAATGTAGTAGAATTTTCTAAATAATTCAACTTCTTTAAGAGCCTCAGGGGTTTTGGGGTTTTGGGGTTTTGGGGTTTTGGGG